TAAGTGTATGTGAATGGTCCCATGCTGGTCGACGCAACCGGGGTTTGGGGTAGCCATCAACAAAAAGATACTAATCGGATTAAATACATCACGATGTGATGAAAGCGTTTTAACTGCTTTTTTGCCCAATAAAACTACCTCAGTCACGTGACTATATTCTTCAATCGCTTAAAATACTTTTCAGTGTTTGTTTTATTTTTTTATTAGCAAAAATTGGCACTTGCATACCATTTTTCAACATATGCTTACCTGTTCAGAAATTATATGTATATATATATATGTATATATATCGTGGATAACTCACTGAAGCATAGATTCTTTACCATATAGATATATTCTAATTGATATCACCTCGACTTAGTACAGGTATCTATAATGCCACGCATTCCAGAAATTTTTAGTTGTAACAAATGGTACTCGCAACACTTCTATGCTGCGATTGTGAAGTGAAAGTTCACCTTGACGAACTTCCTGTAAACAGATGAATATGACTATGGGGTAACATACTGTATGCACCTCATCATGCGTCACACTGAATTTGTGTTTTCATTAATTGCTTTTCGTTTAGGTCACTTTAGGAACAACGTTTTTAAGGCACAGTCAGCTGTAAAAATTAAACTGAAAACAATGAGAGAATGTTTCCAAATATTAGTTGAATTTCTTAGTAACGTCTTGGGTTTTATTGATAGGTATAGCTCGTTGTGTAAGCATAATAAAAGACAGTATTTCTCACGTTTCCAACCAATGTTCGAGTTATGTGTTTGCATATATTATTCACTCCTGAGTATCTGACAAATTGTTGGTCTTTTATCCCTCGATTATGGGACGAAAGGCCGAGCCTCTTGCTTAAATCAATAACCCCAGTAGATTAATTGATGCATATCTGATCGCATACACCACCGTTCCACACCCTGGACGTTGTTCTAACATTAATTCTCTTCCCGTTTTCTAACACCACTTCCGTATCATCTTTTGTTCATCGAATTATTGCTTCAACTCCCTTTTTGCCCCAATTCTATAAGCGCGTTCCACCACCTACCTTCAGCCGCAAATATTGGTGATAAATCTAAGCCAACTAGGATGGTCTTCGGGACTTGTATTGTGTTCTCGGCAATAGCCATTCCTTCCAGTCCGACATTCCCCCTTCACTGTCAAACGTGATCAATATCATTCTTCCATGATTCTATCCTTTTATTTTGCAGTTCTCTGAATCCGGTCATCCAGAATCCCCTTAATGGTTTATTTTTTGCTTGCAACCGTACTGTAATTTTTAGAACATAACACTCCATCTTTGGTGCCTCTCATCGAACCCTTCTGTGGT